TATATGTGTATTAGAGTTCCAATGCAATAATACTCTAAAGCAATGTTTATTAACATTACTAAGTATAGTAAGTGTATTTAGAAATTAGTATATTTAAAAAATAATTCATGGCAATAAAATATCTGGTTGTGTATGCAACTATGGTGACACATCCTAAATTCACCCACGCCCTTTATCTATTTTCTCTTCTTGGCAATTTCAAGTGCTAGCCATAGATGTGATACAAGGTAAGAGAGGTAAAGGAAAACTGTAGACATTATTTTTTCATAAGGTAAGTTATTTACATGGCAAGATAGAAGAAATGTTAGCAGTGCTATTAAAAGACACCCAGCAGATTTAATTACCTTTCCATTGTTCCATATCGAACATTGGAAAAGAAGCAGAAAGGAGGATCCATTGTCAGTCATTTTATTTGTTCTAGGCTTCTTCGTGACTTCTTCCAAGTCTTCCATACACATTCAAATCATTGAAGTAGACGGCTGTAAGCTCGTTTGAGCAGGGTCCTCTTCCACTTGTTGTTCCTGTAAGTTTTCTTGTAATTATCCTATTTATAGTTAAGTCCCCCTTCTGATAATATTGTAAAACGCTACGGAATCTGTTGGCGCTATATACATTTTTATTTATAAAATATTTTACCAGGAAAGAAACATTGAGATTTCTCTCTATATATATAAATGGCGGTAATAATAATAACTTATAGCTATGTAGTAGGGTTAACGGAAAAGTAGCAGCATTACACCCATCAGCGTGGGATCCAAAGAAAATCTTTGGGGGGGACAGTTTTTCATAGCATCCCCTGGAGCTCAATAGTTTGGGGTCACCCAGACATTTCCTTATTTTCTACATACACAAATGGGGTTGAATAGAAGGTTAGAAATAAAGAATTTTAAGTGTCTAAAAAATAATTGTGTCCTTCGAAGTTTGCCTTTGTCAAAGAATTGTCCATGTGCAGCAATTACAGACTTGCAGACCTGTGGCATTATAGTTGTAAAATGTTTTTATATAATCTGAAGATATTTCACCCCATGCTTCCCAAAGCACCTCCCACAACGTGGATTGGTTTGATGGGCACTTCTTATGTACTATACAGTCAAGCTGTTCCCACAACAATCAATCTGGTGACTCTAATCTAATAAAGGCAGAATACCAGCTGACTGCTTCTTCCCTAAATAGTTCTTGAATATACTTTGGAGCTGTGTTTTGGGTCATTGTCCTATTGTAAGAGCAAATGGCTTTAACCAAGCGTTTGGCATGGTGTTGCAAATTGGTAGCCTTCCTTCTTCAAGGTCCCTTCTACCATGTGTACATCTTCCACTTTACCACCACCAAAGCTACCCCAGACTATCACATTGCCTCCGCCCTGCTTGACAGATGGTGCCAAGTACTCCTCTAGCATCTTTTCATTTGGTCTACGTCTTACAAATGTTCTTCTTTGTGATCCGAACACTTCTTTCCCCCACAATTTCTCTTTCCAGTGTCTGTGTTCATTTGTCGGTCTTAATATTTTAATTTTATAGGCCAGCCTGAGATGTACCTAGAAGACCAGCATCATTGAGTCGCCTCTTCTCTGTTGACATTGAAATTGGTGTTTTGTGGCCACTATGTAACGAAGCACCTAGCCTGTGGGGTGTCTTTTTTTTCTGTAATGTATTTTTCTTCTTGCTCAATTGTGCACTGGGGGTCTCCTACTGCTCTTTATATTCTGGTTAGGGCCAATTTGATCTGTTCTGTGAAGGGTGCAGTACACAGCATTGTACAAGATCTTCTGTGTCTTGGAAATTTCTCACATTGAATAGCATTCATTTCTCAGAACAAGAATAAACTAAAGAGTTTCAGAAAATTATTTTCTTCTGGCTATCTTGAGCCTTTAATTGGATCTACAATAGCCGATGCTCTGGATACTCAACTAGTCAAATGAAGGCTACTTTTACTTCCTTAATAAGCAGCAGCACAGTTTTCAGCTGTGCTAACTTCATTGCAAAAGGGTTTTATAATGATCAGTTAGCCTTTTTACATTATAAACTTGGATTAGAAAACACATTGTGACATTGGCATACAGGACCGATGGTTGCTGATAATGTAGATTATTCCATTACAAATTAAAGCTATTCGCAAAATATCGAATACTGAGTTATGTTTTCATTTTTTATTTAATATAAAATATTATAGGATGGCATAGTATGAAGGCAATGAAAGGGTGATGACATGAGTTGTTTTTGGCAGAAAGAAAATGCAAAATTATATACAAATGTATCATGACATGTAGAATATTTTCCCTTGGAAACTAAAAAAAAAAAAAAGAGCCCAGATCTGGTGACAGTAGTAAAAAAAATCCAAAGATTGTTTAGATCAAATGATGTACAGCAAGATCAAGGAGGCTTTTCATTTGCAATTATAGTGCTTACTTGCTCACCTGAGGTGGTGGGGTCTGACTCCTGATCATGCAGGTCACATACTGGAGAAGCTCCTCTGATTCTATAAGAATTTAAGTTTGATTAGTAAGTTACCCTTCCATTTTCTGCAAATAACTGACCTATAACTGTATGAAAGACACCCTGCAACCTTTTTGTACTGTCACTTTTTATTTTTATTGTGATCATATGCTGGTCACCTCGAGACGGCGGAATTCCCCGCTTTGTGGTGCTGGTGGGGGTCTGCACTGCTTAATGCAGCTTCTCATGGATTCAGCCGGGGCGGATTGACAAGTCTCAGGGCCCACAGGCAATGGGAGACCAAGGGCCCCCTTCTGGTGCAAAGTTTTTTTCATCTGTGCTTGCTGGTGACATCACAAGTAGCGCCCCCCCCCCCACGTATTGTGGGGATATTTATGGGATAATAATAGTAACAGTGAGAATTGCCCACTAATTCAATTCTCAGATCCCAAAGAACGTTTATCGTGTTAAGTGAGAAGTATATCATATAAATAATATTACAATTTTATTATAAAAATAGATTTTATTTATAATAACAAATTAATAATAATAATATGCAACATGCGTGATAATAATCAATGAGTATTCAGTATAAAATGATATGCAATACAAAGAAATGGGTATTACGTTTCAATGGCTAAAACAGCATTTCCTGTCAAGACTTTATTTATGACTATCTTTAACACAGACTGAAAGTGAAACTTTTCACAGAAGAACAGAATTCCTCAGAGTGCAGCGTAAGGTCGTAAAGTTTAGCTGACAGTTAGAATAACCCTTTCAATGCTGGCTAGATCTCCTAGGTAATTAAGATCTATTCTTATGTAATTTTAAATAAAATAACATTTAAACCAGTTCATTAGTCATTTCCTGGAACCATCCAATAAGAGAATCTACCATATTATATAAGCAGAATTTGTCTAAAAGATATCTTAATTTAGGGCAAATCAATACACCTGGATAAAAACAGCGGTATGCTAACATGTGATAATATCACTTTAATATATAATTATTCTTAATTCCACCTGCAGAATGGAATGTTTATAACTATATATTCTTAGTTAACTAAGATTTCTTAATATGGAAATCTGACCGTGCTTTATCCAGTCATATATAATGCTATTAATACATTTTAATTAATTTAATTAATTAAATGAAACCAGTATAATTACCAGTTGAGTAGATATTTCATCCAATTGGTAGATAGTCTCAGGAACTTATTTGGATGTCTCTCTGCATGGAGGTTGGAGTCCCCAAACTTCCAATTCCTCTCTCCTCTTTTTCTTTCCTTTGCATATTTGCATACCTTTATCTTAACTTTTAAAGGGCCAGACTCTCTGTACGTCATCAGTTGATAACCCAATAGAAGTACTAGAGGTGTGGTTATCTTCCAGATCGCAATTTAGGTATTTAGTCTATAGAGGGCAGTCTTGTCCCACTAAACATACCTATCCAGGAAAGAGTTAACTTTTCTGGTTGGCTATTTTGATGTCATTTTGGCCTATCTAGATAGTGGCCATAACTTACGTATCCTTCACAGATCAAAGGGTTTATTTAAGTTTTGTCCAGACTATGTGTCTGGCAATCTGAGTTTTGACCCGTAACTTACAATGGGACCCTATAGATATAGACAGTTAAATTTTATTATTTAATCTTCTCTGTCACAATTGTCTGGGTTTAGATTTGATTATATTCCATTAGCATTTTATCACTTGGTTTGTTTATAGTATGCATTCCTTTAGCTCTGGCAAAGTGGCTAGTCTTACAGAAAGAAATCTTGTGTCTTTTTGTTAACTTGGAAATAACAAAATGGAGTCTGCTCTGTTCAGAGTGACTCAGAATATACACTTTTAATTTCTATCATAGCACAAGATGTCTGCCGATATAAATACTCTGACAGTATGCTTTCTTTTTTATTTTATTTTTTGTGTACATTTTTATTTTGCATTGCTGAGATGTATACAGTCACCTGTCTTGTCCCAACAACAAGAACAGGCGTATGTGAGGACACAATTATACATATAGCTTGATTACAGAATAAGATATTCAGAGATTAGTTATGTACAATAGCGATGGAAGAGTACATTTTTATAGAAGAGGGAATAACGCAGCTTGCTAGTGAATGCCACATAACTCTACGCTAGTTAGTCAAGAGTACCAGTAATATAAAGACAAGAAATTTCAAGATAAGTAAGCGGGCGTATCATCGCATTGCACGTTTTATATTGTATAGTGTAATCATGTTGATGCGTAGCAAACATTCTGCCATTCTGAAGGTATTATGAGGTCGCAGGCTTAACTGAGGCATTAATAGTCTGCGCGCTTCATAAAATATTAGAGTTTGACATTTCTAAGGATTAACTGCTTATACATTACAGGGGGCTTCCATCCCATGGCGGCCTCAGGTTTTCAAACAGCTGGTGTGTGAGACTGCATATATATCAGCAGATTTCACATTATGGAAGGGCAGAGAGCAGAATCTGAAACAATAAAAAGAAGATTAAATAATCATCAAGCAGGGGCATGGCTACCAGCGGAGCAAGATGGAAGCGTAACTCTTAGCTCCTGCACATGGGCTCCGAAAAAAGGCAAATAAACCTCGAAAAAGACGACCCAGACATACAGAAAACCATTATGTCGCAACCTAAACAAAAAAGGCAAGCCACCAAAGCCAAAAAACATAACTTCTTTGGCCAAAAGGCAGCGCCGACCAAACAAACAACCCAGCCGCACCAACAAGATGGCGGGGAGGAATCACATGACGGCAACCCCTTCACCGAACCGGCAGATCCAACAATGGAGGAACAGGTCACTAAACAGTTCCTATTGGAACAATTAGAAGTATTCTCCAGCAAAATGATGGCTGGCTGGACGGCAGGCCTGTCAGGGCTAAAAAAAGACATAGGAGAATTGGGTGCTAGAACCTCCCGCGTGGAGGAAAGAATGGAGGAGACCCAAGGCGCACACAACCAGCTAGCAGGACAAAAGGATAATTTGACCCATTAGTACTAGTAGGTTGAAAGGTCGAGATGACCAACATGACAGTACTTAAAAAAAAACAACAACAAAAAACATATGTAACCCAAACAACAATGACATCTCCTGGCACACCACAATGATGGTGCCCCACAGGTTGGACGCAGCTATGGCAAGATAGCATATGTTAAGCAAGGGGCCCGGAACTATTCATAATACACTATGTTGATGTATATAAATGTTTCATGATGAAGTACAGATATATAAGTTATGCTTATCACCCACTCCTACTTCGGTTCCATCACCAATTCCCTGAACCTACAACTCTAACTCACAAAAACCCACAGCAGGACGCACTACCACTGCCTAAGGCACACTATGCAAATACCAAACAGGAGAAAATAGCCCGGCGTGCACCTCGGGGTCCCTAAACTAGTTTGAACAATGAAGGTGCCCAGGTAGCCTCCTTTGTGAGCACAACACGCATGCTCACCACACCCCAGGTACTAACAAGGAGTACCAAGCCCCACATCTGGGCAATGTTGTATGTAGTTGAGTTCTCGCTGAGACTCATGTTCACACCCTACCCACCCCCAACCCAGGTTGCAAGCCACACGAACAACCACAGTACACCTATGCCTACAAGTATATACATAAATTCAAAAAACTACTCACCAGTCGTTAACCAATACACACTAATACTGGCATACACAGACAAATTTTGCCAAACCTTAGACTATATCCCCCAACTACCAACGCTAAGTCTACGACAGACCAATCCCTTAATGAAAATATATTCACATAATGTCCGGGGATTAAATTCCCCCAAAAAATGCCAACTGCTGCTAACAGAACTGAAAAAACATGATGCGGATGTGATATGCCTCCAAGAGACTCACTTCCAAAGAATGAAAACGCCGTCTCTAGGCCTTAAACAATTCTCACACCAATACCACTCCACATATAGTCACAAATCTAGGGGGGTCAGCATCCTAGTGCACAAATCGGTAGCATTTGAACCAATTAAAATAATCACGGACAGTAATGGGCGATATCTCATATTAGTATGCAATTTTAACAATGTCACATACACCATAGTCAACATTTATGCACCAAACAACAACCAGAGACAATTCCTACAAAGCCTGTTGACTAAAGTGAGCAATATATAACAAGGCATATTAAAATACTGCAGAGACCTGAATCATATCCTAGACCCCAAAATGGACACAACGCTAGATACAGCAAAACCTAGATCAAGATCTCTCACATCTGCCTGCACCTTACTTAATAAACTTCTATTCCAATTTAACTTATATGACGTGTGACGCACATTGCACCCTAGAGATAAGGATTATACCTACTATTCCCATGTGCACAAAACCCATTCCAGGATAGATTACTTTTTCATAACCAGCACAGGGCTACCATAAACGCACCAATGCACACATGGTGATATGGTCTGACCATGCTCCAGTGACACTGATACTCACTGACGCTTTCTCCTATAAGGGCAGAGGTTCATGGAGGCTGAACAATTCACTTCTCTATGACCAGGAATTCACCTCCTCACTAGACCAGGAACTCAGACATTACTTCACCACCAACAATACCCCCGAAATCACAGCCCCGACCTTGTGGCAAGCACACAAACCGGTCATGCGGGGACTGCTGATCCGCAGAGCATCATATCTCAATAAGCAAAAGCGAGCAGCACTTATGAAACTGCTCATGGCGCTAAGAGATACCACTCAAACCTACTACCAAACAAAACATGACCTCATGATGAAAATTCAAAACTTAACCGCCAAAATCAATGAACAACAATTCCAAAAGACAGCATACACCTTACAAAAATTTAAGATGACCCATTACGGGCAAGGGAATAAGGCTAGCAAACTATTGGCCAACATGCTACCCAAAAAACAATCTAATGCTAAAATCCCATATATCCTCTTTAAAGATAATCATAAACTTTGGAACCCACAAGATATGAATAAGGAACTAGTGACCTTTTCCAGCGCCCTATATAACCTAAGAGAAGACAAAACTCTATACCAACCCACCACATCAGAAATTGAGGGATATCTGCAGCAGATACCACTACCGACCCTAACAAATGAACAGACAGAAGCACTGTCTGAACGAATCACGATGGAAGAATTAAAAGTTGCTATCTTCCAACTGCCCACAGGGAAATCCCCGGGACCGGATGGTCTAACGAACTGCTATTATAAAACCTTCACACCTACACTCATCCCACACATACAACAAACGTTTCAGCACATAATCCGCACAGGAACAATGCCACAGAAGATGCTTGCAGCTCACGTGGCCACACTGCCCAAACCAGGGAAAATACCAGATAAAGGACAAAATCTACGCCCAATTTCACTTCTTAATACTGATGTCAAATTATTAGCAAAAATGTACTCCAACAGATTAGCCACAATACTCCCCAAACTAGTGCATGAAGACCAAGTCGGCTTTGTAAAAGGTAGACAAGGCACGGACGGCACTAGGAAAGTTTTAGATCTCATATACAGCCTACGAAAACAAAAAACAGGATGCTTATTCATGTCGTTAGATGCCGAAAAAGCCTTTGATCGGCTAAACTGGGACTTCCTTAAGGCGACTTTAGTGAAATTTGAATTCCCAACAGCGTTCATGAATGCCCTGCAAGCACTCTATAGTAACCCCACTGCCAGAATAACTAATGCTGGATTCCTTTCAGACCCGTTCAAAATCACGAACGGAACCAGACAGGGATGTCCCCTCTCGCCCTAGCTCTAGAACCCCTTACGACTCTCATTACACAACAACCATTAATTACGGGTGTCAAAACACAAAGAAAAGAACATAAACTCACACTATTCGCAGACGACATACTACTGACGATCCAAAACCCAGATACATCCCTACCACACTTCCACTCCATACTAGAAAACTATAGTAAATTGTCCTACTACAAACTGAACATATCCAAAACGCAAGCCCTGAGTAAGGGACTTCCCCCAGACATAACCCACAGACTGAAAAACGCAAACACATACGACTGGAGAAACGATCACATTCTTAGGCATACGCGTCACAAAATTACACACCGCATTATTTAATGCTAATTACGGCAAATTATGTATAGAAATAAAATAACAGTTACAAGACTGGAAAACATACTTCATATCCTGGTCTGGCCGCGTAGCAGCAGTCAAAATTATAATCCTCCCTAAATTATTATATCTATTCAGATCTTTAATGATCCAAATACCCCCTACTTATTTTACCACAATCCAGCGCTCGGTAACCAGATTCGTATGGAATGAAAAAAGGGCCCGCATAGCACTGAAGGTCATGCAAATGCCATTAAGAGAAGGGGGCATGAATATGCCAAACTTCAAACAGTACTACCATGCAACAATACTAAGCAGTATCATTCAGGCAAGACCAGGAACACAAGAACACAAGAACCACAATGGAAACACAGAGGCAGAATGGGCTGATAATACTAGCACTGACAACTTAGTGTGGATCCCAACACACAAAAGACCGCAAATACTGGACTGCCTCCCAACTACTAAACTGTCTCTAAAAATCTGGGACATAAACCGGACCACCCTAACAAATAGCTCACTAATCTCTAAAGCCATGCCACTTAAATCATTAATGCATATCATTCCAGATTTTAACTACAGAATATGGGAGAGACACAGCATATGCTTCCTGCACCAGATAATTACCAATACGAGTTTAACGACATTCACCACATTAAGAGACTCTCACAAATTACCAACGATAGCACACTACTCATATCGCCAACTAGCCTCATGGCTACACACACAAGGAGAAAACAATCAATAACCAAGGAACAACAGCTGACGGAATTCGAGAAAATGTACATGGGAACCAAACTACCCCTGAAAACCATATCTTCTATTTACGCAGCACTACCCACAAAACAGGCACTGAAAGAACACAATTTTATCAAAGCATGGGAAAAAGAGATCCACAAGACATTCACTGAACCAGAATGGGAACGCATGATTTTAACCCCCAAAACCTTCTCCCTTTCTTCAAAACATATAGAGCTCGTCAAAAAACTCCTATACAGATGGTACCTAATGCCAGTGAGGCTACACAATTATAACCCAGCTATCTCAACACACTGCTGGAGATTCAAAACAAGTATAGGGACAATGGCACACATATGGTGGACATGTCCACTTCTAGAACAGTACTGGAAAGATATAGCCAAACTCATCAAGGACAGCACAGGGAACGCTTTACCCCACAGACTGGAACTTTATGTACTCTTCGATATACCAGGGTCGATACCCAAACCAGACAGATATCTTATGTTCCATATAAATATAGTAGCCTTAGGCGCATTAGTACGAAATTGGATCTCACAAACAATACCCCCTATTTCAATGTGTATACGACACATAAGCATATCCAGCCGCTTTGAAACCACAATGAGAAGACAAAACACCCCCCCAACAAGAACCATAAAAAATACAGACAATATTGGGAAATAGCCTGGGATAAATGGGAAAAGTACAAAAGAGATACACCAGGGAATTGCCTGTCGTAAAGGCAACCCCACGACCAAAACCCCAAGCCCATAAAAGGACCCAGCTCCCAATTATGACACGATAGAGCACGGGAAAGTCAGGCTAGAAACTGTAAGTAAGCCAATACTAAACACTCAAAGAAGTAGGAACTGTAACCCACTTTAGAGCTTGTGACGCATTATAGCACATTTTAACCATACCATACCACCCTAAGGCGACTGGATAAGTGTTATTGACCACAGCAATGTAAGATATATGAGCTTCCACTCTATCTCATGTAGCAATAAACTGTTAAATTACCAAAAATGTAAAACTGTAAAACAAATACAGTTGCAAGAAAAAGTAGGTGAACCCATTGGAATGATATGGATTTCTGCACAAATTGGTCATAAAATGTGATCTGATCATCATCTAAGTCACAACAATAGACAATCACAGTCTGCTTAAATTAATAACACACAAAGAATGAAATGTTGCCATGTTTTTATTGAACACACCATGTAAACATTCACAGTGCAGGTGGAAAAAGTATGTGAACCCCTACACTAATGACATCTCAAGAGCTAATTGGAGTGAGATGTCAGCCACCTGGAGTCCAATCAATGAGATGAGATTGGAGGTGTTGGTTACAGCTGCCCTGCCCTATAAAAGACACACACCAGTTCTGGGTTTGCTTTTCACAAGAAGCATTGCCTGATGTGAATGATGCCTCGCACAAAAGAGCTCTCAGAAGACCTACGATTAAGAATTGTTGACTTGCATAAAGCTGGAAAGGGTTATAAAAGTAATGATAATGATCAGATCACATTTTATGACCAATTTGTGCAGAAATCCATATCATTCCAAAGGGTTCACATACTTTTTCTTGCAACTGTATGTATGCAATGTTCTGAAATGTGATCAACAGAAGTGATTCTTAACAACTTGTAACATACTTGCAACTCCCTCCCCGTTTCTTTTTTCTCTACACCAAATTCCTGCTAAATGACAAAACAATAAAAATTATCAAATTTAAAAAAAATAATAATAATCATGAAGCAGCATGTCTAGGTCAGCCAATGTGTCCAAATGTCCCTATAAGTCTGAGAGCGGTCTTGTGTCTCAAATATCAGTTCCTCAAGTCTTCAGAGGTCCTCCATCTTATGCCACCTCCCTTGACAATGTGGTTTGATATCTTTTTTCCAGAACAGAGACAACACTTGTTTGGTGGTTTTCAGTATTCTTACTGTCAGGGATTTCTTGTACGTCGTTGTAGGCATGGTGGTGTGATGTAAGAGGTAGGGAGCCAATCGGAAAGGGGGCGAGTTGTCAGAGAATTTGTTTAAGATTTCACTTATTGCCTGCCAAAAAGGTGTTACCCTAGGGCATTCCCACCAAATGTGCAGGAACGTTCCAGTGCTGGCCCCACAGCGCCAACAATCATCTCCCAGGGCCGGAGTCAAATACCTTAGAGCTTATGGGGTCCTATACCGTAATAACAAAACCTTATAGGCCGTCTCCTGTGTCTTATTGGCTAATGCGCAGTGATGTACTAAGTCACATATCTTGCCCCACTGATGTTCTGTGAAAGCTTCCCCTAGCCAAGTTTCTCATTTGCCCATGCACGTGGGAGGAGGGAAGTTTCTATGCTGTAGGAGTAAGGAGTATAGGTAGGATACCGCATGCAGTAGTGGGTCCGGGTCATCGACTAGGATTTTAAACGAGGTTAGTGCCCTAACCAAGTTGGGTTTTTGTGGGATGTGGTTTATTAACTGTTTCAGTTGTTCATACTTCAATCCCTAAATAAAAGTGTGGTGTGCACTATCTACCTGGTTTAAGTTCCCCCCACCATCAGGTGCCGGGCTTGTACTTGTGGCTGCAGAAGTAAGCATGTGAACACTTTGTCCTCTGTTCTGGGGTCAAACTCTTGGTCAGAGGGTAGAGAGGGGAGGGGAAGGACGAGAGCTCCATTTTCGTTGTGGTCACCTTATGCGACGTGGGTCCCATTTTGAGTGCCTTAATGTCAGGGGTTGCGTCTCACAGCCTGGAGGAATGGCTCGAGGACAAGAACAAAGAGCAGCGGTGACAGTGGACAGCCTTGTCTGATGCCATTGTGAATCTCGAACGGGTCGGTGAAAGCCCCGTTGATACAGACCAGCGCTGTGGGGTTATCGTACAATGCTGTGATCCAGGAGTACATCTTCGGACCCATTCCCAGTGCCTGAAGAGTGCAAAAGAGGAAGTCCCAGCTCACTCTAGTGAAGGCCTTCTCTGCATCCGTGGAAAGCAGTAGGAGGTCCTCCCCAGTCCTCAGTACTCTCGTGGTATTATCTCTAGCTTCTTGGTGAGATATAAAGCCCACTTAGACCGGTTTCACCAGCATAGGTATGTAAGGTAGCAGCCTTGTAGCAAAGACTTTAGCAAAGAACTTCAAGTTGCAATTCAGAAGGGGATCGGCCGGGAATTAGCACACTGCTCCAAGTCCTTTCCCTCCTTGGGTATCATTGTGATATTAGCCATCAATATCTGGGAGGGGATCCTCTGATCCTGGATGTGCGAGTTGTACGCCTCCAGGAAATGTGGGAACAGTATGCCCGCAAATTGCTTATAGTAACGGACTGTGAGCCCATCCGGGCCTGGCCTCTTGACCGGTTTCATGGCTTTGACCGCTGCTGCCATTTCCTCCATCGTCAAGAGAGCCTCCAATGCATCAACTGCCTCTATCGGAAGTGTCGAGTGGACATTGTCCCTGAGATATGCATGAATAGGCTCTAACCTCTGTGCATGCTGTGGGGAGTCCGGTATGGGTGTTTTCGAATACAGTGTAGAAAAATATCCACGAGTCACCTGGCTATTCTGTCAGGTAGTCACTGTGGTCGGCCTTGGGTATCCCATAGGCAGGCAATGTACGACTTATTTCTCTTTTTGTTGAAGATGCCTGCGAGCGGTTTGTCACATTTATTGCTATCAATGTAAAAATAGGCTTTGGTATGGAGCAGGGATCGTTGCAGGTGGAGATGCGTAGCCATTTTGCACCTCAGGTCGGCCAATTCCTGGAAGGTGGTCAAATTTTAGTCCGCTTATGTGCTGTTTCTAATTCTCGGATTTGATCTGTGAGCTCTCGATTTTCTGCTTCTCTTAGTTTTTTCAAGGCTGTGCCCTTAGCTATAAAGAATCCCCTTATGGTGCGCTTGTGGAACTCCCATACCACTGGGGCTGGAACGTCAGACGTCACATTTTCATTAACGTAATGGGTCAGGGAGGTGGTCGATTCATGGAGGAGCGGGTCAGAAAGGAGTGTTTCATTAAATCGCCAATGAGTGGCCCCGAGTCTGGACAGAGGGGAGGATACAGTCGGCAATAGCGGAGCATGGTCCGTCCAAGTCATCACACCTATGTCGGCCCTGTGTACCTGAGATAGGTAGTAGTGCGGGACAAAAGAGTTATCCAGTCGCGAGTATCTAGCGTGGGGTATGGAGTAATGAGTAGTCCCTACCATCTGGGTGCAGAGCACGCCAGCAGTCAGCAAGACTGTGAGCATGCAGAAGGTTTTTGATCATCAGCAGGACCTGTGAGGGCATTGAGTAGGGGGGCAATGAGTAGTCCCTACCATCTGGGTGCAGAGCACGCCAGCAGTCAGCAAGACTGTGAGCATGCAGAAGGTTTTTGATCATCAGCAGGACCTGTGAGGGCATTGCCGACATGCCCGTGGATGTGTCAACCCGAGGATCAATATTAAAGTCTCCCCCAAGGATCAAGAAGTCCTCTGTAAATGTCATTAATTGTTTAATTGTGCACTGCAAGAACTTCCCTTGTCTGGAATTCGGTGTGTAGATGTTGGCCAGCATGTATGTCTGCCCCAGAATAGACCCTTTCACGAATACATAACGACCTTCCCTACCTACAAGTGTGTCCCTGTGTTTTCAAGGGATTGACTTATGAATGGTTATGGCTGTCCCTTTTGATTTACTCTCGATATTATTCCCATAAAAGACTTGAGTGTAAATGTGATTGGTCAGTTTTGGGGCGGTACCTTCTCTGAAATGAGTTTCCTGGGCAAATGTGTGCGTTTTGTTTCTTAAAATCTCTCTGGGCAAGTGTGTGTTTCTCCAGAGTATTAAGGGTTTTTGCATTGATGGACATGAGACCGGGGAGAAGGGGGTACCGTTGTGTGCCATTGTCTGAGATTCCCGCAGGATAACGCAGTCCTGTTTCCCTAAAGGGACCTAAAGGGTCTTGAGTCACTGGTCACCTCCCAAACGCAGACTAGCGTGCACTGTGTAAAAGCAGCAATTAAGTGATAACCAATATGAAAATTAAGTAAACAGCTGTCCAGGTGGGACAGTGGGATAGAGGGAAATGTGGGTGTGAAGCGTGGATGTAGTGGGTATGCTAACAAGGGTGACTGAGTGGGTCAGGCCCCCGGCCAAGACCAGCTGGTTGGGAGAAAACACCCCCGCTCAAAATCTGTCACTAAAGCCCAAAAACAGGGGGTGGGGGGTCTAGAGCTGACCAGAAAATTGAGGATAAATCGATTTGGATTCGTAATTCTCCACAAGTTCCACCTCGGTATCGAGTAGGAAGCGAACCTGTGTAAAGATCCTATACAACATAAACTCTAAAGCAACTAAACATACGAGTCTCACGACCTGTAACATAAGTGGGGTAGTGAGTGGAAAGCAGGTCGGCTGGCAGCCAGAAAGAAAGAAAGAAAGTGGGAAAAATAGAAAAATATACTTTAAAAAAAATGTTTTATAGCAAAATCTTGTAACAATAAGAGTTTGAAGAGTAACCCCAACAAAAATAGGCCATAGCAATAAGAAACAATAACCCAGTGGCTGACTCATCCCCATCCAGAACACTCACGGCACCGTTCCTTCCTGGGTCAGGTCGCCTTCCTTGTCGGGTGGTGGCTCGGGCCAAAGTATGAGCAAGGTCCGTGAGAGCTTCCACTGGTATATTTTTGTCTCCTACTGGTACAGTCC